TGGATTTGGAAGGGAACGAATAATTAAGAAACAAACGAGAGTTTATGATACAAAGATGTATTTATTGATACAAATTTTTCTTCGTAGGAAAATACATATAAGAATAATCTAAAAAACGGCTTAGAAACATTAAGCGAAAGATTCACGATTTGAGAGGATTATATAAGAAATTTCATTGTAGCGCAATGAAATTAATTCCAAAAATATTATATTAAAATACATATCAAGAAAAGTTAAATCATTAATTTGTGTACGTACGTTGCGATCAATTTCGTCGTAATTTCCCCGTAGAGTTAATTTTATAATTTCCTGATTAACATAACTTACAGGAAGTTTCAGCTCGATTTCTCGAATTAAATACTGCGCGCACTTGTTAACATTATCGGTTAAAGATTCTAATTGTTTTAAATGCGCGTCGACACATTTCACAATGTTTTGCAGACCGAGAAAGGTAGTCTTCTGCATTACAATAGCTACTGCGAAGGTTCTGCGTTTCTTCGACGGCGGCGTTGAATCGGACGCGACCTCTTCTTTTCGGAGATTCCCGCTGATATTTTCCATAGAACGAAGTCCCTCTTCTTCGTCTTTATACGCCAATAATATTGATTTCGCACCGTAAGATGTGGTAAAACTGATAGAGATATTTTTTATGATAACAGAATTCGTTTTCGTTCGGTTATCACTAGTTAAATATTCGTTCATGTAGCCCATGTTGTCTCGAAACTGTTTCCAACTCTCGGCGTCGAAATAAATACCATCAGCACTGTTTTCGCTCAATTTTACAAGAGGCTTGAAGATTCCCTCGTTCGTTCTTTGCAGACCCACATGAATCGTCTTCGTATGAGAGTTGTTGAGACCATACGTTGTCGTAAACAGCATATGAAATCGTGTGTTTCTTCCCACGTCGTTGTTACGCGGCTTGAAGCAATTCGGGTTGGAGTACATTTGCTCGTTCGAATTATTGGCGACTTTTAAGCTGTCCATTATTCTTACTTCGCTGTAGCACCAAATGACACGAATAATCCAAGTTGGTTGGGTCAAAACTAAGAAGTACAGTACTTGCTTGCTTGCTCACGAAGTTGGAGCTAGGAACGACGAGACTCGAATGAAGCGGACTCGTAACGCTACCGACGACATCATCCCTCTTTCGTCGATGTTACTTTACAAAAATTATTCTGCGCGCGCAGAAGAAAAAGCAAAAAAGTCTAGATTTTTCTATATTTTTTCCGTTAAAATTTAAAAAAATCTGAAAGGGAGAGGTAAAACAAGAACGGACATGTTCGTCTTACGATACTTCGACTGCCGAGTTATAAAAATTATTGAAGAAAGGATTCTGCCCAAATTAATAAAAAATTCTTTTAAATTATTCTGTAAGAAAAAATGCGATAGCCTTTCAAAGAAGACTTACAGGGGAGAGGTAAATAAGAGGGGACAGAGACGTACAAGTTCGTTTTACGACATTCCGACTGTGGAGTTATACATCATATTGAAGAAAGAATCCTGTCCAAATTGACAAAAAAATTCTTTAAATTCTGTAAAAAGGGATAGCCTTTCAAAAAAAAAGTCTGGGAATGACAGGCAGGTAAAACGAACACAGAAGCGTACAAATTTGTTTTATGATAATCTGTCCGTTCTGCTTTTCAAAAATTATTGAAAAAATGAAATATGGTTTGACAGAAGAGTAAATTTTTTGTCGATTACACGGTAAGGAAAAAAAAGATCATTTAACTTAGAAAAGCTTTTAGCAAATAAGAAATAGTCGACTTTCTAAGAAAGAATACTTACAAAAAATATGTAGAACCTTAGTGATTAGCTGAACAAACTTAGGAGAAGGAAATAAGGAAGCGCCATTA